GTAAAGCACAGGTCGAGTAGAGAGGCTTTACCTTCCCGGTTGAAGGCAAAACGAGTGGGGAAGTTAACTATCTGTGTGAGGGAATGGGAGATTGAAAAAATTAAGCGTTTGAATGCCTGCATGGTCAGTAGTAGCATTCTTAAGCCACAAGGTGTGATGGGCGTTAAAGTCACCAAACACAGAAATGTGAGCAAACGGGTGAAGGGAGAGAGCCTTGTCTATGCTGTCAGAAACTCTATCAAGTATCTCACAGTCTTGAGAGGATGGAGAGCGGTAAAGGAAGAAGAGATAGCTTACTGCATTAAGGAGAGAGAGTCGGAGACACATGTATGACTGGTCAGGCGATTCGAGAGAGGACTCTCTGGCCAGAGGATATATATATATATATATATATATATATATATATATATATATATATATATATATATATAGACATGTTCAACTCCCAGCGGCGACAGTCTTTTTCATGCTTAAACGCAATTGTCAGGCCTGTGTCGAAAAAAACTGTAAAAGAACGTCAAAGCTATATAAAAGATAATCAATGTTAAATGCCTATGGAAACCCGAAAGGGTAATTCAAGTTAAAATAGACTCATTACAATAATTACAGCTAAGAAGCTGTCTAGGGACGTTCGTTAAGTTTCACGTCAACTGTCATATATATTATAGGATTGGTATATACGTAATAAATTCCAATAACCAACAAATCCTATTCTTAAAAGAGTGCAAAATATAACATAAAAATGTTATAAAATCACTACAAAAATAGCCATTTTGTTCCTGGTGTCTTATCAAGTGATGGTGTGCAATGTAGAATACAGGGTTGGTACTATTGTGGTCATGTGTTCGAATTTTGAATCTGATCGCGTCTGTTGTTTTTTATTCTGTTACTGTATATAGCAGTGTACTCACATGGAAGAACGCAGAAGACAGTTCCGATTTCCCTGGTCGTAAAGTGTGCCATCGTGTATATATATATATATATATATATATATATATATATATATATATATATATATATATATATATATATGAAGAAACATGTATATAGTTAGTTTCCAAGCGTAGCTTAGATGGGGTACAAATACTTTCGGCCTTGTACCACATCTAATCTACGCTTGTAAAATAACTATATATATATATATATATATATATATATATACGTAAGGAGATAGAGAGAGAAGGAATACTCTCCCGTCGGATTCGGCATATGACTCTCCATCAGCTTATAGGTTAGTCGATATATGTTCAGATTAAATATGAAACTTCAGTTCCACAAAAGACTTAGAGACAAGCTGTGTACAAGATTTGGGCTTATGGGATAATAATATCAGTTTAATACAGTTTGTTTAGTCCAGATATATATATATATACAATTTTATCAGTCAATAAACCTATCTATCTATCTATCTATCTATCTATCTATCTATCTATCTATCTATCTCTCTATATATATATATAATTAATCACTATTTTTGACTTTGTGTTTAATGTATGTATGTTCATTTACTTTTTTTCTCGACCGCATTACTTATAGAGGTGAATGTTATTAATGACCTCTGCTGATGATGGTTGGAGAATTCTCAAGACCGTTCCCGAGCATCAAGTCCGTCAGCCATAATGCCTGCCACCCTAGCTTTCCTTCCTCCCATCGCGGGCACTCTCCCGCCTGACTGACGGCAAAGGCATTATCTGCTTTAGGACAGGAAAGGAGAAAATGTGTTTTTAAAAGCTGCAACATAAGCTTATGTTAGGAAAAATGCTTCTTCTATTATTACAACTTTTGTTGTACGTCGTATTTGTTTATTATCTTTGGTGTCGTTTCTTTTCTTCTTCTTCATATTTTTTATTACTCCTTTCATTCTCTACCTTTTCTTATATTTATCGATCTGAAGTATATATATATATATATATATATATATATATATATATATATATATTTTTTTTTTTTAAATATGATTCCACCGCGACACGGAAATTACTAAGTTTCGAAACTGGTCAGCAGTATTTAAGTTTAATTCCAATATTAATTTAACTACTGGGTGGTATTTTCAGCCAAAAGCGTTCTTCTGATTAAAAAAAAAACGCTCATATATATATATATATATATATATAACCGTTCACAGATTGTTACGCTGCATCACATCTCACCAGCGTGTCTAGACGTGCGATTGCTTCAAGCCGGGATCGAGAGCCGACCAATTTGATATTAATCGGAGACTCGCACCTCTAGGCCATCACCGCAATGTAGGCAGCTAATGAACATTTAACGCATAAGGTTTTACTGTCTAACAGAGTGTTCAACTCATAGGGAACACACACACACACACACAAATATATATATATATATATATATGTGTGTGTGTGTGTGTGTGTGTGTGTGTGTGTGTGTGTGTGTGTGTGTGTGTGTGTGTGTGTGTGATTTCAAATCTCGATATTCGATTCATGAGGAAGGTGATATTTTCTTTCGGTTTGGAGGGAGGATTGGAAAGTACTTGAGAACCATACCGAGGAATGACCCAAGACTGCTAAGTTAACTTGGGCAGATAGAAACTGTTGATGGTTGTGCTAGCAAGAAGTCACAAGTCACCGTGACCGAGGCTTTGATCGTTATTCAAACTTATCACCACACCAGATTATGTGATCTCTTCCAGAAGCTGTAACTAAGGTCGGCTCAGCATAGATTTAAGACACAAGAAATTATTGACAGTGAAGGAAAATGATGAAATGCTAGTGAGGAGAAAGGACAATAAACGAACAGCTTTAGGAAAAGAGAAGATGGTGACAATGCCACTAAGACCCAAGGGGTTACTGGGAGTGAAAGAGAATGAAAAGACTTTCGTGAATAGAAAGAGCAATAAAAGACAGAGGATGGCGATTGGCGTTGTATTTAAACTTTTGAAGATCGTTGTCTACAAGAAAGCAAGAAGCCGATCGAAGATCGACTGGTTTATTTGTTTTTACAGGTTAGATCCTCCTTCGGGTTAACTGAGATTCAAATTTCAATTCAATTTTTCTTATACATTTAACGTGAGACAACAACTGCGTGTGGGTTTGCAAGCTCACCGCTTGATAATCGTTGAACGCAAAGGACTCAACAGCGATCAAACAAAGAAAAGGCCGGCAAGCTCATCACACTTACGAGAGAATTAGTTCAGGCGCTCACAATGGATAAAGGCCAGGACTTTAATCTTTTCGTTAACGAAAACCACCAAATAATTGCTCAAGTGACAAAGTAATTTGCCAGTGTATTTTTAAGCAGCCAAAGGCGATCCGGCTGTTCTGTCATGAGTAATCAGACCAAGTCACAAAATGCATAATTTTCTCAGTGCTAATGGCGTAATGCCAGATAACAACATGGCGGCAGATGAGGAATGTCGATGGATATCTATGGCCGAATGAAGAAAAAAAAAAACAACAAAATGCCGGCATTTAAATTACTCTTAAAAATGGGAGAAAAACCGTAAACCATGTAGATAATAATGGTATTTTGGTTCTGTTATATATATATATATATATATGGGTAAATAGATACGAACCGAATGAGATAGATAGATAGATAAGCTTGTTTGATTTGTTTTTAGGCCTTATCAGTCTTTTATAGGTTATTTAAAGCTGGAACATATTTGGGGACTGAAAGAATTATTCTTGTTTTTGCTTTTTTTTTTTGTATTAACAATTCCTCGGAGATAATACTAATTTTCAGATACAAGTCCTAATATTAGTTAACTCATGGATGGGGGAAAAAAGTTAAATTCAAACTTTTTCCAATAATAGTTTTAATGAACCTGACTAGAATTCGAACTCGCATTTCCGCTTTCTCATTCCGAGATTTTATCCATGACACCAATGGCACGTCCAAGCTTACGCCACAAAGTATTACCAAGCAGTCCCCATCTAGTTAATGACGTTGCCCAAATCCGGTGATCGGCCGTAAGCAAGATAGATAGATAGATAGATAGAAAATTGAGAGATATACTGGAGTGAATCAAAGATGGCAGGCTAGAACCGTTCAAAGAGTCTTTCTCAAAGACATTATAAATATTAAATTATGATAAAAAGCAATTTCCTTTCGTCTGATATCTGCCTGTCTATGCAGGCAGACCGAGAGAATTATGTTATATATATATATATTCAATTATAGAAATTAAATTAAAGTCCCTAGTTCTGTTTCATTTTCGCATTAAAGTACCTAATTCTGTTTAATTTTCAAATTCGCTTGAAAATGAAACAGAATTAGGTACTTTAATTTAATTTAATGAAACAGAACTATGTACTTTAATTTAATTTCTATAATTGAATTGGAAGTTTTAACTTCTGTCTTTGAAACATGGTAATTCCTGTGTGGCGATGGAATCATACTTTAAAAAAAAATTCATAATCTAAGTTCTACTTGTGTATCGAGCACTGTTTTTCCTTTTCTTTTTTTTTTAAATAAAAACAAAAATACTAAAGAACTTCGGATCATCAATCTAACGATTCTTTCTTATTTTATCAATATATTTGCACATACACACACACACACACACACATGCTTATATATATATATATATATATATATATATATATATATATATATATATATAAAACATTATATATATATATAAAACATTATATATATATATATATATATATATATAATGTTTCATGTGTTCTTATAATATTTTTCATTTTTGGAAATTAATTATGTAGAAAAGTTCCGAATGTTTTGTATGTCCGAAGGCTTTTGGTTATACTTTTAGCCATTATCAAGGACGATTTTGTTTTTACTGAATGCAAGGATTTTCTAATGTATGTATAGAGAGTTACAGGAATGTTTTATTTTCCAAACACGGTCGGGGCGTTGTGGCCGTGTTCATAGTTGATCTTACTGAGTATTGGCTTTTTCTTTTTTTATTAATAATGCTTCCAAAAAGGCTAAAAATAATGGAACGAACAGAAAAGGATATAAATGAAAAGAAGTCAGCTATATGAGAAGAATGCTTTTATCTTCGGTGTTCCATGTCAATTTCTCTTTTCGCGTATATTTCAGTTTATTTAACGGATTTCTTTCATTCTTTTTCTTCGATTACCGATTTCTTTGTTTCTTGGAAGTTCTTATATTTATTTATCCGGAATCTATAGATTTACATATAATCTCTATCATCTAATCTGGTGCATGTCAGTGCATCTGCATTTTTGTGCTGCGTGTCAACACAAACCTTCGCCCAAGTCCTTGCTAATCACGCCCACCCAAATATGGAAAGCCATAAAAGCTACAAAAGGAAAAAGAAAACAGGGAATTGAAAATAATGTGACCAAATATAACGGAGTTATTTCAAGGTGTCCCTGCTAATGTTTTCTTTATTCACGCCATTAGGAAACATCACAATTATGAATTTTATGCCAAGAACTGATCAATCGCTACAAAGACGAGCCGATATTCTTTGGTGTCTTGAATACATATTCGCAAATTAGCGGTCCTACTTTAACGTTATGGTTAACAATCACACCTCAAAGACTAATTCGTTAGTAACATCGATCCGCACTGTTGTGGTAGACAAAACCATAATTTGTAAAAAAAAAAAAAATAAATAAACACACCTACTGAAACTAACAATAAGTAGACCTTTATTTTAAAAAAATCGTAAATGACACGTTATTTGCAAAAATACAATTTTAGATTTTGGTTTGGTTTGGTTTGGTTTGGTGTTTGTTTTACGTCCTGTCAACCTCAATGGGTTATTTAATGCCGACAAAATTTTCATTACTGGCTTGGTTTGCTTTGTTTTGTTTTACGGCATATCAACCTCAATGGGTTATTTAATGCCGACAAGATTTTCATTACTGGCTTGGTTTGCTTTGTTTTGTTTTACGGCATATCAACCTCAATGGGTTATTTAATGCCGACAAAATTTTCATTACTGGCTTGGTTTGCTTTGTTTTGTTTTACGGCATATCAACCTCAATGGGTTATTTAATGCCGACAAGATTTTTATTGCTGGTTTGGTTTGTTTTGTTTTGTTTTACGGCATATCAACCTCAATGGGTTATTTAATGCCGACAAATTTTTTATTGCTGGTTTGGATTGGTTTGTTTTGTTTTACGGCATATCAACCTCAATGGGTTATTCAATGCCGACAAGATTTTTATTGCTGGTTTGGTTTGCTTTGTTTTGTTTTACGGCATATCAACCTCAATGGGTTATTTAATGCCGACAAAATTTTTAATATTTTTTTCTTCAAAAAAACCTATTTGTGGTAATATTTTTTTCTTCAAAGATCTATTTCTGGCAATATCTTTTTAAAAAAATATATAGCTGGTAATATTGTTTTTCAAAAAATGTACAGCTGGTAATATATTTTTTTTTCAAAAAATTGATTGCTCGTAATATTTTTTTTTTTTTTCAAAAATGTATAGCTGGTATTTTTTTTTTTTTCAAAAAATATATATCTGGTAATATTTTTTTTCAAAAATGTATTGCTGGTAAAAAAATTTTACGAAAATGTTTTTGCTGGTATTAAAATCTATTTTTACACTTTTTGACCCTGTTTTTTTTTTTTTAGAGGAGTTAACTATTTGCACATAGCTGTGACCCTAACAGGTGCTACCAACCCGTGTCATGGCGGACCTGGGAACACCAGCAATTAAGAGGTTGTTCCATGCTCCTCAAAACCTGGTCAGAGGCCTTAGTGTCAGATGTATTTTATCGCCTTATCCAGGACGCGGCTGTAGTTTATCGTCATACCCAGGACGAACAATTTTAGATAACAATTTCGTAATTATTTGGTATTCATATATTTGTAAATGACTATTTGTGATGAGCTATTATAAATAACAATTTTGAAATGGTACTTTACAATTATTTACAATAGCTTTTTTGTAATAGTTATTTACATATTAGTAAATAAAAACACTGTAATACCATAATTCCACATGTATAATACGCATTTTTTCTAAAAAGTAATAATTAAAATCAGGGGTGCGTATTATGCACAGCCACAAAAAATCTTTTTAAAATTTGTCGTAAAATAAAATAAGAATTATCCTAAAACTAAATTAAGATAATATTATTCTGTTTAAAAGCATTTTTTTTTAAAATAAGAGTAGGAAACGCTGGCCGTAATGAAATTGGAGTGGTACAATTTATAGGGTTTGATTACAAAAAAAGGGGTGTGTATTATGCGTGAGTATAAACATTTTCCCACAATTTTTGGGGGTGCGTATTATGCAAATTGTAAATTGTATTGTTAATAACAATTTTCAGATAGCTACTTGTGAAAATATATTGTAAATTATAATTTGTAAACAGATATTTGTGAAAACTTGTTATAAATAATACATAGCTACAGGTATACCTCACCATAAGTGGTTAATTAGCTCCAGAGGTCACGACTTAGGTCGAAATAACCACACAATGAACGACGAAAAAGCACTCACCATTGCCTATTACAGTATTTATGATATGGAAGTAGAGTATTCTGAATAAAATAATTAATTTTCACCTTAACATCCAGTTATATAGGCTTATGCTTAGTGTTAGCATTTGCAATGGAACTTTCTTGAGAGCCATGGGCAAAAATGTATTCTAAATCACAATTGAAATGTAATTGAAAGAACGTCAACGGCAGAGCACAGATGTAAACAAGTTTAAATACAAAAATTGGAGTTGGAGTGAGAAAAAACGCCCGAGTGCCGCCTGTCGGCAAGAATTTGAAATGTGACCATCTGCTGAAAATACTTTATTATACCAATTCTTTTGTTTTGATGACTCCATTATATATATATATATATATATATATATATATATATATATATATATATATATATATATTCATTACACACAACATGCTATCTGTCAGATCACGCTCTATTTCGTAGTAAAGTTACACTGCATCTGCAAAAGCGAAGGATTATAAAATTTACAGTACCCAAGCGCATTAACGTACTGCCTCTTAAATCGACTGAAACGAAAATTGAGCTCTCTGACAAAATTGATGCTGCACTTGATTCTGTAAACATTACCAATGATATCGAATCATCTTGGAAGGCTCTGCGTGATGCAACATATTCTACATCCTTGGAGGTTCTCAGCCTGCCACATCATAAACATCAAGACTGGTTTGATGACAATAATACAGAAGTATATATAGCAGCTTATAGATCAATCGCACTCTTCTCATAAGGCATGGATTGAGGACAAGAACTCGTTCGATAAGAAGATGGCTTACAAGAAGTGCAAAAGTCAGGTTCAACAAGCCCTCAGAGCCATGAAAGAGCGTTGGTGGTCTGAAATAAGTGGAAACCGACAGCAGAGTCCATTATATATATATATATATATATATATATATATATATATATATATATATATATATATATATATATATATATATATATATACAAGTATAGGATTGGTATAGACGGAATTAAATTCCAATAACCGAAAACATTATTCTTCAAAGAGTTCTCAATACAGAGTATTATTTTAAAATTTATTTGAATAGAATTTTGTGTTTATTGTTATTTTAGCGTTTTGTCGTTTCTAATATTTTAACTTCCGATGTAAACTCGAGTCAAACGACCTAACGCGAGTTTTATTTTTCCATATAATATTTAAGAAAAACCGACGTATCTTCGAAAATGACGTAACTCGAAACGACTTAAGCATAGGTATCGCTGTATTTGTAAATGTCTCTTGTTAATAAACCTTGCTGTTATTTTTGAAAAGCTATTAAAATGACAATTTCTCAAATAGTTCTTTAAGATTGCTATTTGCAATAGTCTTTTTATTTAGCTATTTGCAATAGTCTTTTATTTAGCTATTTGCAAATAGCTATTGTAGATGTTGAGGAAATATGAATGTGTAAAAAGCTATTTGTGGTAAAATAACAATTGGTAAAAACAGTTCGCAAATTAGTACGCTTAAACGTCGCCTTTTGTGCACTCGTTTCAAAGACCAATTTTCTGTTGTCACGAAATCGACCCACATCGGTTCCTACCCACATAGCCTTGTGGTAGACTATTGTTATCACCCTTCTTAATCATCTTGCAAACCACGTGGTATATTGTGGATAATCAAGCAAAATCTCAAAGCCAACACCTGACGCCCGTCTTGAAGAGAGATGTAAACAAGTGTACTTTCTTTATGAGCCTTCATTTAGTCACCTTATGTCGGCAAATATTCAATGGCGCATCTGAGTAATTGGTTTAAAATTCATGACTTTTTCAAGTGATTCTCATTTGCTATTGAAATCAGATTTTGCTGGACAGTTTTCAGAGTCTTATCGTCTTTGGAGTTCTTTATATTCAAATGACTTGTCTTTGACACTATTTCATGTAAGGATACTGTCCTATTATGCGAAAAAGAATATTAACCCTTGATTAACGAAGCTTTTCGCATGGGGACACGGTGGAGTAATGGATAGCGGATCGGATTGAGCAATCGGAGAGCCGAATTTGAATTCCAGTCGAATCCATTACATTTACTTACGTACTAATGCCCTTGGGAAAGGTATGAATCCTCTTCTCCTTCCAGCTATGGGTAAATAGCAGGACGGACCGGATAGTCTACCGTAGAAAGAAATGGCAACCTACTGCGGTATCGAAACATACAATATCGCCAAAGCGTGTATCACATATGGCACATGACTGACACAGCGTCTCACACCTACTAAGACCTCCACCCAAAGACTTGTGGTCGTTGCTACCCTGGAGATCTGAATTAAGATGCAGTTTTATCTTTATTTATCTGACATGTGCGTTTTCATAGATCGATGCGTCCCCATAACCAGGCTTGCTGGGGTAGAGTTGTTTTATCTCATTGTCACCTCTAGAATGATTGCCAAGTTTACAAGACCAAGTTTATCCTGCTATTTAATCCATATATGGGGGAAGAGATACATTTGTACCATTCGCTAGTGCGTAAGTGAATGTAACGAACGCGTTCGGTACATGGCATCCTCAGCCACCTCCTGTAGAACCACATCTATGCTGCCTCAAGTATCCTCTATATCTTTGAGGAGATTGTTAGACATTTTGACGGTCGTCTTCGAGTATAGAATCCAGAGGTTAGCAATGAATATTTCGGAGACCGTAGGAAAGCGTAGTTCAGGTT